GCATTTTTGTAGCATCTGATCTATCAGGTAAACTCTAGAATTTCTGACAATATTACAGTATTTATTTTCCTGGTTACTTTAAAAAAATTTAGGTATCCTAAAACTCAAAATATTTCTTTATTCGTGATTCTAATACGTGATCTACTAAAATAACACCCTGTAAACAGTTTAAGCAAGAATTATATCAAAATTTTTGGAAAAAAGAAATAAAAACTTGGGAAAAGAAATACTAGTTGATAAAATAAATGTTAAATAAACCAAAAATGAATAAATATCATTCAAAGTATAAAATTCACGGTGTACCTAAAATTAATAATGGAAAATAAATTGATTGCAGTTAAGAATAAAATACCTATTATGGTTGCTCTAAGATTATAAAATTTACCACATGATTGCAGTTAAAGAATAAAATACCTATTATGGTTATCTAGTTATAAAATTTACCACATCAAAATAATGTTGGCAAGACCAAGTCATTAAAAAGAACCTATATTATATACCTGGAAATCTAAAAAAATTAAATATTTAAGGTGGCTATTGCCTCTTAGTAGTAAACTAACTTCTTTTCCTGCCTACAGCTGATTTGAAAAAAAAACCTGTGTAGAAAAAAATTAATAAAATGATTTGTATATACCTATAAATGCTGAATAAACAGAAATATATTTTAATTATCTAAATAGATAACATTATCTGGAAAAAAAATTAATAATGAAAATGAATTTATAAAAACCACCTGAAAATTAAAATAGATTAAATCAAACAAACAGAGCAATCATTCAAAATTAAAACGATGTTAGTTATGTTAAACAAATAAGATAAAAAAAATTAATAACCAAATTAGACAAAAATAAATAAATAAACCAAACAAAAAAATGTTTAGTTCAATCTGAAAAATAAAATACCTGAAAATAATCGTTATCATTATTTTCACTTAGCTCAGAGCAACAAATAATTTCTTTAACGAATGGAGAGAGAGAAAAATAATGAAAAAAAAACTGTATTATCATCCTGGCAAATAAAAGTCACTTACGTATGTTACACATTATTTAAACAAATATTTAAAAATATAGATACTTATTGTCAACAATAAAACACAAGAGAGAAAAAAAAACTGTATATACTCAATGTACCTTTGAATACAAATTATTACTCTGAACCTTATTCCGTTTTAAGCAATTTATTATTACTCTGAACATTTACTTCGTTTTAACCTTTTAGAATAAACTTGCTGAATTATGCTAACCCTTTCTCTGTCAGTTTCTTTTCATTCTAATATGATGTTTAATCTTCAAAAAATCCGATGTATCACTGATTTTTCCCCCATGTAAGGTGTACTGGAGAAATGTCTTTCCCATCTCCCGTGTCTATGCAATGTTTCACTCTGCCTTAGCTTTTAGCGGTCTACCCTCATGGGCGAATATGTCCTCATATTCCTGGAGAAATTCCTTATCATCTCCCGCTCCGCCATATCCAGATGCCCACATTCAACCTTTGAATGTACCTCAGATGAGCTTGAGTGTACCCCATCTGAACTTGAGTGTACTCCTCCTGAGGATTACCTATCCTCTATCTTCCTTGCACTAAAATCTCTTCCTTTCGTGCAATAACTTCCTTCTGTTTACCCGTGCTTTTCGGAGCATGTCTAGGCCACCTTTAGTAAGTCCCTAGACCAGATTCAACGTCCTGTATATAGTTTTTAGGATCCGTTGATCCGAACCCGATAGACCAATTTGCTGCTAGTGAATTACATCGCCTTCTCCACAACCTTACATGCATAACCCAGTACACTATCTAAATCATTGTCGAAAAATCTATTCTCTTATTTTCGAAGACTACATTTTAAAACACCCTCGTAAAAGATTTAAAGCTCTCTGGGACGTAACCGTCGCTTCCTTGTGTCCCGTCCAGGTACCTACTATTGAAATTGGGGTCTTAAAAAAAACATCTGGTTCCAGTTCACAAGTGCATCGATTTTCATCTAGAATTCGTTATCTACAAAGGTTACCTAAACTCTCTAAACGGAGAACATTTTTTTTCCTATTTATGTTTCTAGAATAAAGGAAATGAATATAAAGTAGCATCAAAAGTAATAGTAAAAAAAATAAATGAAGTATGCTGCAGTATAAGTCAATTGTTGCAAACCCAAGTAATAAATATTCAACAAGCCAAAACGCCTAATACGTTTTGCAACCATTTCAAAAAAAAAAACACAGCTGACTTTTTCATTTGTCCAACTGTAATACAATTTTAGCTTTTTTCAGAAAGGCATATAAAAAAATTATTCATCAAATAACAGTTATTCCATTACAAAAATAACACTTATAGAAACCAAAAAAGAAAAACATTTAATATTTTAATCAAAAAGACAAAGGTCCACAACAATACTTATTACTGTATAACGACATGTGAATACTTCGTTGCATGTCGAGAGAGTTCGCTGACTTTTAATTAGTTCTATCTATGAAACATTACGTGCAATTATTAATTACCAAAAAAAAAATCTTAGTTGACCATTGTTCCTGCTGCTGACAGATGTTGACATATTTACCTGTGCGATTTCTTTGTCATAAAGATTTACGCTACTTACCATTATCGCAATCGATTTAATAATAACCTTCAAGTTTCCTTAACTTTTTTTTAATGAAATAAAAAGAAACATCTATCGAAATTTCATGAATCTTTCTTAAAACAAAACACTATCCTGAGATTAAATATTCTGTATTCTGAATTACCACAAATACTACTTTATGTAAAAACATATTCTGGCAATTATTCTTTAAGAGAGAAAAAAAAACTTAAAATCAATAAGACCAAGATCATTTAAAATTTCTACAAAATCTCTAAATCACTCTTATCGTTGTAACAAATATACAAAATAAAAAATATGGAATGCATTTCAAGAAAGTAATAAAATCAAATGTCGCCAACGAAATTACTTTAAATCAACAAATAAAATTTTGCGTTCGTACAGAAACAAAAAAAAACTGAAAAAAGACCTTGTGCTACAACTATGTTTAAAACAAATACAATAGACCAAAAAAAACATCAAAAATAATAGAATTATATCATTTTAATCACTAAAATCTATTAAAAACATATTAGAAAATACATTTCCGATCGATTATAAAACGAGTCTTTCATTTATTACAATTATGATGACTGAATAGAGTTACTAATACTGTTAAAAATCACAAAAGGAAATTAAAGGTAACCGAAAAAAAATTAGTCTTTACTTTTTAAGTTAAAGCAAAAATAAAATCAAAAACAATAATCTGGGTACAAACTACAAATTGATTGTTGTGTATCCCACCGCTGCCACCAATTTTTATGTGACAAAACTTTCCAGATTTGTCCGTTAACATGGTAGTGTGGCCTTTATATAATTATAATTAAAATAATTTATTGGGCGGTAGGCAGAACTTGGATAATGAGAACACCGACTTTTCAGAGCGTAAATATAGTTTATCTTTTACATATAAAAACAAAATATAACCAGCTAAAAATCGAAATTAAGGCATCGCACTTTTATGGCAAGGGCTCTTTCTAAATTCAGTTACTATAAACTCTATTGCCACTTACCTTATTACGTCAACATCCATCAGCAATACATCAACAACAGAACCTGTCGAAGATTTCATTGATCCCCTTGTAGATCTACCTCTTCGGTCTTGGACTCATACTTTGGATTGAACCACTCGACCGGTTATCACAGTGTTCTTTTTAAATAACTTGATATTTTAGTGATTAGGTGAAATAAAAAGAAAAAAAATGCCGATTTTTCACAACACCTAACTATATTTAATATAAAGAAATAAATAAATAAAAAAATAAAGAAAAAGATTTAACAACAAAACATTTATAATTAATGAAAAAGAAAGAAATTGAATCAAAAATAATTAATGACAATTAGAGAATTGAAATTAAAACTCAGAGATAATAAAGTTAAAAAAAAATACAAAATATTCTTCTTATTAGTCCAATTTAAATTATCAACAATTAGCATACACTTTCAAATCTCTCTTAGAATTATCATTGGCAGAAAATTAATATATTAAAAAAATATTCACTGAACAATTAAATTTAAATTAGAATTTAATAAAAAGAACAATTGCAAAATAATCACTTATGCAATGACATCTAAAATTTACTAAAGCCTTTAGAACAAACAGAAAGTCTTAAATCATTAATAAAGAAAAATATTAGAGAAAATCCAAAAACAACAATTAAAATACTGTAAGCATGAATAGCTTAGAATTTCCTAACTTGAGAAAATCGTTAGATAGAGAACTTACTAAAACAATTAAAAAGACCACTGGATAATATAAGATCTACACGGAGTAAATTCGACCGTCTAATTTAAAAGTCAGTACCGAACTAATTTTGAAGATGAAAATACTGATGCTGGTACTATCTCGGAAAGGCGTTACTACATCTTCGGCATGCCCCTGTTTGAGGAACCTTCGAATACCCATCCAAATGCATATTCGCACCTTTATAATTGGCCGAAGGGCTCCTTCCCCGAAAGATCCCTAGACTTCTTTCACCCTTGTTTCTGGTCCTTATCCCGAGAGGGCATCAGCATGTTCTTTTTATTAATTAAATGTAATTTTTAAACCCTTCCGTGTAAATCTTACTCTTTTACCCATTTGCTGAATAACATTCATAATCTACCTTAACTAATACAAATGATACCGAATCATAGGATTACCTTAAAAAACCGCCTAGAAATTAACTCTTTATTTCTTCACATTTTTGTCTATTTCTATTTAACTCTAGGAACGGAAAAAAAGACAATCCTATTTCTATCATTTTCAGACATTCATTTCGTGAACATTTGGATTCTGATTTTAAAACATATATTTAATACTTTTAATTTTCAATGTAAAACCTCTAGCGAGGGGATGATTTAATTTTACTTATTTCCTTAAGCATGCCTACGTGCTTTTTCTGCGTTGTTTATTTTGAGATATCCCTAGGGTACACAACTGGTACCACTCTGTCAAATAGAGTTTTGATAATAGGTTTGTTCTCACAGCTGTAAGAAACATATTTCCAACAGATAATCATGCGCAATAGGGTAAGACGCGTTCGCACAGAAATTTTTGATTGGTTTCCAACCAACAGTAAGCTGTTCACACAGAAAATTCTGATTGTTGGCTGACAGTCAGACCAGTTCGCGGATCTTTTGCAAGTAAAGTGTCCGGCGCATGCGTATTGCAACTCGACGTCATTGCTTCATTGCTTGGTAAACTTAACCTACAAAACGTGTGTTGTTTTTGTTTAGTGTTTTTTTTCTTCAAAAAATAAAGAACAGAAATGAGCGATTTTGAATCTTCCGAAGAATCTGAGGCGTCCGAATTTTCGGATACAGACACAGACCTAGAAGAGCTGATAGGTCTGTTCCAAGAAGTATCCCTGACTAGTCAGCACGTTTCTCATTGGTTAAAATGCGTAGAAACCTGAGGCCCGATTCTGTAAACATTTCTCTTGTCTAGTAACTCATCATTCGTATACAAATAGCATAGGCTAGACAAGAAATTTCTTGCTACGGAGCTTACAGAATCCCACTGCTGATTGTTAGTCAGGTTTCTACGCATTTCAACCAATAAGAACCGCGCTGACTAGTCAGGGATTCTTCTTGGAACAGACCTGATGGAGGAACGGGTCAGGCCCAAGAATCAAAATTACTTGGATGAAACGGTGCCCCAGTTCAACAGAACTGAATTCCTGGAACATTTTAGAGTTAGCCGTGAAGTAGCAAACGATATTTCTCAAAGATTTGCAAATAGTGAATACTATAAGGAACAGTCAGGACCATATGGAAAATTAACCTCATTACAGTACACTTATATATTTTTATGGTATGCAGGGCATCAAACCGCTAGCTTCCGTGATGTAGCTGACAGATTTAATGTGACTATCAGTGTTCTACATAAAATTATCAAAAGAATGATATATTTCTTAAGTAACCTTTCACCTGAGGTTATAAAATGGCCAAATGATGTGGAGAAGCAGGAAATAGAACAGTATTTTCGCCATAAAAATACGTTTCCCGGAATTATTGGGCTAATTGACGGAACCCACATTAAAATAGATAAACCCCAGGATGATCCTGACTCCTATATTAATCGAAAGGGCTTTTACTCTGTTCAGGTAGGTTTAACTTGACATTGACACTTTTTATTTTGTTACTGCTTTTGCCTGGACCCTAATACCCACTAAATTGTTATACAGAACAATTATTACTGTACTGTATTGCATAAAATATACCGGATGATGCATCAGCTCATGACAGGAAATCCCATGTTAATTTCAGGGGTGTCGATTATTGGCTCCCCTATTTATTTTAGAACAAACTTTTAATGGAACTTTTTGAAGTACTAGATTAGGTCAGGCTACCTACCAACTTTGATTCTTATTCTTTAAGGCATTTTTAAGTTATTTGTAAAATTAGATCCTTAAAAAACATAATTTGTACATCCCTGTATAACCGTAAAACACTCCAACTACCAGCAATTTATTAAATTTTATGACATTGGCATAAAAAGCATATAATTTTGACGTATTTGAGGAATCTAATTTTGCAAATATTTTAAAAACGGCTTAGCAAATGAGTTTCAAAGTTGGTAGGTAGCGACCTAATCCAATACTTCAAAAAGTTCCTTTAAAAGTTTGTTCTAAAATCAATAGGGGAACCAATAAATCGACACCCCTGAAATTAACACGGGATTTCCTATTTGTCCTTACCTGATGCATCACCCGGTATGTGAATATCAAAATTTTAAGTGTTTTTTTTTTCACAGGTGCAACTGGTATGTGACCATAATCTTCGCATTACTGACATATTCACAGGGTATCCAGGATCCGTACATGATGCCCGAGTGTTCAGAACATCTCCATTAAGTGAGACATTGGAAGAAAAATGTGGAGAATTTCACTTGCTAGGAGACAGTGCTTATCCATTATTAAAAAATGTGTTAACACCCTTTCCAGATAGAGGCCTGTTAAATAGACAACAAATTAATTACAATATACAACATTCCAGCAACAGAGTAAAGATTGAGCACTGTAATGGGGTATTAAAGCAAAAATGGCGTCAGCTGTATCATTTGAAATTAAGGGATATTAGGCTCATCGTTAACTTCATTAGAGCATGTTGTGTTCTTCACAATTTAGGGTTGCAAGATGGTGTTGCACTAGATTTAGAAGAAAATGTAGAACCAGTTGAACCTGCTCCACGTCTAGACCCCGATAATATAGAACAGGGCATTCAGGAAGATTTAAATGCTGTAGCAAAACGAAATCACATTGTAAACATCCTTGGACAATAAATGCATAATAATTTTTTGGGACTTGCCCAATACCAAGGGACATTGTTTAAAGTCTGCCAAATTATCTGTCACTTCTTGTGTAAGCCATACAAATTGTACGCTACATATTAGATTTTTTTAGTGTTTACTTAAATAAAACTAAAATTTCGCATTTTTTTTTGTTTTAGAAGTTATATAAAATGACAGGCTTTTCAAGAGCCGTTTATAACTATTGAAATGTGCAAATGTGGTTTTTGAAATAATTTTTAACAAAATAATTGTGCTATCAAGATGCTATCTTCAGTTACAAAATCACAAGAATCACATTTATAAATGAATTTCTTGCTTCCTTAAACATTAAATCTGCTTTTATTGCACATGAAAGTTGTGTGTAAGCATTCCTTCATCCAAAAACATTCATTGCTTTCAGGGGAAGTGAAATTCATATAAAAATGTCCCCTTACTGTGATGTTCTAACAAATTTAGCATAGAAAATATAGCTTCTTTTACATATATTTTAAACACCACACATTTGCTCTGATTCTGGTATTTTTTAAGCTAAAAATAGCCTTGCTTTTTCTGTGACACTGTATAGTTTTGAAATGTGCATTAACAATTTTTATAAAAAATCAATAATATGTGAATACATTTTTTATATTTTATTTTAACAACAAAATATACATTATACCCTGCAGCAACAGTCTTATAGTTTCCTTAGCCTACACAAATGAAAACAATTATAAACAAAAACTACATTCTTTGGTAAATACTCCTAAATAACTTGGAAAATAAAAAAAATAAGAATAAGAAAATTAAAAATAACTTGGAAAACAAACTATATAGATTCCTGGGAACACAAAACACATTTTTTCTTTTTTAAAATTTCATTTCTTTCCCCCAGTAGTGTATTCTTTTCTTCCATAAGCTTAACCTTAGCCTTTAGAATATCAACTTTTTCCCTCTCTATCAACAATCGAGCCTCATAATATTCCTTTTTGTCCCGTCTCATGTGAACTAATGTTACATTTCTATTAAGCAATGGGGTCCTTTTCTCTTTTGATCTATCTTCTTGTACTTGTAATGTAGTGGCTTTTCTTGGAGTTTCTGGGAATTTTAGGGACTCCTCTGATTGATTGTCAGGCATTTTCTGCACAGATTCGCTTGAGAGTAGAACAACCGGATTTACATTTTTCTTTCCTTTAAAGATTGCATCCATTTCTTCTAAATATTCAAAATATTTCTTTCCCTGGCCTGTTTTATTTTGATTGTCCACGTATCGTTTGTATGCTCTTTCTAAAACTCTCCATCTATTTTCTACATGACCAGCTGTAACGTTGGTTCTAAGCAATCCATTTAATTCTTTTGCTAGAATTTCCCACAATTTTTTGAAATTTTTTATTTGTGCAGTACCAACCCTCACTCTATATTTTTGGTACAAATCTAAAAGTACTTTGGTTTGATTTGTGGACCAAGTAATTGGAGCTGGAGATGTATCACTTAGTTCCTGGTTTGTTGATGCCTCAGTTGCCTTTGCCGGTGGTACAAATACAAGAAACTCTGAGAGTCCTGAAAGAAATAAAAAACAATAATTATCTATCCATATTATTCCCAATACGAAATGTGGTGCTAATATAAAACTACATACTCAGTCAACAATAGAAGGGTTTTTAGTATTCAAGATTAAACACAAATAGTAAAAGTTTACTTAAGTGACACCTTGTATTTTCAAAGAATTCCTTTTTAGGGGTTTTATATTAGCCAAATGCAGCAAGAATCCGCGTACGCCGGTAATTGCCTCTCAATTTTTGTTGAAATTTGTTCAAAAAACCCTGTTTTCTTTTTTGAAATATAAAGAAGGGGGCATTTCTACATGCCAGTTATGTTATTTAGAAATGCCTCTACTTTATATTTCACAAAAAACGCATTTAAAAATAAAACTACCGGAGCAATCAGATTCTTGCTGCATTTGTCCTATATTAACCCCCTGAAAATGAATTTTACGAAAATCTCTTAAAATATGGGGTATCACTAAAGTGAACTTTTACCACACGAACTGCCGATGGAACTACACATTAAAATACGAAATTTTAAACCTACCTGATTCACAGCTTCTAGTATCCATAATTATACAGCACAGCGGTGACGGTGGTTTTATTAATTTTCTAGGAACAATATCAAACAATATTTTTTGACTCAAGTACTAATTACTAAAAAACAAAAGTAAAGCGAGGTTAAGGATTGTTCTTCTGTTGAAAAGCGATGTTAATTCCCTGTTCGTTTCTTCTTTATTCGGTATTACGTAGGAGTTAAAATTAGTGGCAGTTAGTGGTATTAGATCAAAAAAGAAGAGTAGGGGATCCGCTGTTCGCACAGACAGTTTGAAATCGATCAGAAAGTGCATTATTTGAGACCTGCGCATTAACACCGGTTTGGAAGAAGTCACAAACATGTTGGGAACACGCTGTGAGAACAAACCTAATAAGGGATGAATGTTTGTTCTACTTTACCCTCGTTTATGTGACTTTAAATTATTTAGAAGATTGTATTATTTGCTTAGTTAGTTTCTCAGGATATATGCGTACTTTTAGAGAGTTTATGTGTCTTGAATATCATTAGATTATTTGCTTAGGCCTTTTAAAATTCGTTTGCCTATGTCGACTGATAACTTCGTAAACTGAAATGGTCCCATCTTAGAATAACAAACCAAAAAGATAAAATTTTACAGAGCTTGATATTATTCTATTACACATTCTCCGATCATATAAAAACCGATAAAAAAGATCGAAAACCTAATTTACAAAGATCGATCTGTCAACCTTCAACGCCGGTGTCACATGATCAGCTGACAAACAATTTAAACGTCAGTTTGTAAATCGTAATATAAACAAGATGAAATTTAGGGAAAAATCAACTATAATCAGGTAAAACCAATTGATTACACACAGGAAAAATACATAATAAAATCCTTAACCCATATGTATATTGCAGACCCAATATTCCCACTTGTTGCATTGAAAACAGACAAAAAATAATCACATCAAGTCTCTGTTCAAGAATCCCCCGAAGAAATATGTCAAGAAATCATCCTAACACAAGCATAAGTCTAAATCAAGAATTAGTGACTACTGTAGAAAGAAAGGTAGGTTTTACACAGACAAATTGATATTATATTAATGAGGTTTTATATTACAGTTATCGGAGACAACTCCATCCAAAGAAATTGTTGTGATTATTAGAAATTATATGTACAATTAAGAAGTAAGCTAATTAAACGTTATTATTCAAGTTATTCAAGTAAGTTTTAGTTTTATTCCTAAAAATAAGCAAAATAAGTAAAATAAGTTACGGTGAAATTTTGAACCGTAACAAAAAGTCAATAGATTTACTTGCTGATTCAGAGTGTTTTGCCTGTAAATGATGCCGAAGTTTTGCGGGTTTCATACACTCCTTTGCAAGTACGCCACAACATAAAACACATTGTGGTCTTACCTCGTTGTCGACTGCAATTTCAATAAAACCAAATTGTAAATATTCCTCACTATATTTACGCATCTTTCCGCCAGCTTTAGCCACGTTTTTGTGGCGTTGGCGTTGAGGTTTCTTACATATTGAGTGATGTTTCCGATTCCTGAATGTTAGGTGCTCGTTGTGTTGCAACATTACTTTTATTACTTACTAGTCCGTGTTGTAAAATCCTATCCTCAACTGACGAATATATCCCTCTACAAGGCTTCTCTGGAATTCTGAACCACACACAGGCCAAAATCGCCCACAACTAGTGCCAAAACTGCACAACCAGTCTTCTCGACCCACAAAAGAATTGCAGACAACTCCAAAGAATCAATCCCAATTCGGAACGGCAAGGCAAGACCAAAAATAACTTCAATGGAGTTTTTATCAGTGAGTCAGGATCAGAAATGCTGCGTTTACCTCGGCGGTTCGAAGTAGAAGAAGGAGGAGTTATTTGCAAAATCCTCAGAACATGCTCGATTCCAAGTCAGAAATACCAACATAAAATTTAACACAGGCAACCAGTAAAATAAAAGACCCAAAATAAAATTTGACATAAAATTTTATTTAATGCATACGGATTGAGTGAAACATTTTATTACATCATAATAAAATTATAATAATCCCTATATGAACATAACATCTTCGGAAAATTATTAATACATTCTCCGATCATATAAAAACCGATTAAAAAGATCGAAAACCTAATTTACAAAAATCGATCTGTCAACCTTCAACGCCGGTGTCACACGATGAGCTGACAAACAATTGAAACGTCAGTCTGTAAATCGTAATATAAACAAGATGAAATTTAGGGAAAAATCAACTATAATCAGGTAAAACCAATTGATTACACACAGGAAAAATACATAATAAAATCCTTAACCCATATGTATATTGCAGACCCAATATTCCCACTTGTTGCATTGAAAACAGACAAAAAATAATCACATCAAGTCTATGTTCAAGAATCCCCCGAAGAAATATGTCAAGAAATCATCCTAACACAAGCATAAGTCTAAATAAAGAATTAGTAACTACTGTAGAAAGAAAGGTAGGTTTTACACAGACAAATTGATATTATATTAATGAGGTTTTATATTACAGTTATCGGAGACAACTCCATCCAAAGAAATTGTTGTGATTATTAGAAATTATATGTACAATTAAGAAGTAAGCTAATTAAACGTTATTATTGAAGTTATTCAAGTAAGTTTTAGTTTTATTCCTAAAAATAAGCAAAATAAGTAAAATAAGTTACGGTGAAATTTTGAACCGTAACAAAAAGTCAATAGATTTACTTGCTGATTCGGAGTGTTTTGCCTGTAAACGATGCCGAAGTTTTGCGGGTTTCATACACTCTTTTGCAAGTACGCCAAAACATAAAACACATTGTGGTCTTACCTCGTTGTCGACTGCAATTTCAATAAAACCAAATTGTAAATATTCCTCACTATATTTACGCATCTTTCCGCAAGCTTTCGCCACGTTTTTTGGCGTTGAGGTTTCTTACATATTGAGTGATGTTTCCGATTCCTGAATGTTAGGTGCTCGTTGTGTTGCAACATTACTTTCTTTCGATAGTTTTGATAGTCACTACACGGCCTTTTTAAAGAACCACTTTTTAACCAACGGTCCATAGTTAAAATATTATTTTAATGACACAGACACAACTGCAATTAAAAATAACCACGCGCTCCTATTACGAAATATTTACTAATTTTGTTCTGAGACGAGTTCTAAAGCCCCCCAAGCTGTCTGTTCGCAACCAAACAGACAACGATCTTTTGCGTCCATTCGTATCGTGGCCAGCTGAAACGTCGTGCTGCATCGCCGAACTATTAGTGCCCATAGACTATGCGCTCAGCTAGCAGTTTATTTCAAACGACACGATGAACCGTACGCAATTATTAGCAGTGGCAGCGGCTACAGCAGTGACGCTTAAAAATCGTTCTATATGGGTAAAACAATGGCTGCTAAACTAACTTAACCAAACCAAACCAACTTTTTTCCATGTCAATTCATTAAAAGAATTGAAACTCGAACCAGGGGATCGGTTTAGTTTTTTGCGGATGGATGAGGAAACGTATTCGGAGTTATTGAAATTAGTTACGCCTCTAATAAAGAAAAGTAAAGGATCATGGAAAGCTTAAAAAACTTTCAACATACAAACAACATATCATGCAAAGCGTAACAAGCTTTCAACACGCAAACAAAACATCATGCTAAGCGTAACAAGCTTTCAACATGCAAACAAAGTATCATGCAAATTTTTGAAAAAAAATGGCACTTGCTTCTTGCAGTGCTTTGAGGAAAACTTCTAATGAATGTATATTTTCTGAATATGTTTCTGAAGGAATAAGTATGTCATCTAAATAGACCAATGCTACAGTGTTCCTAAAATCGCCCAAAAGTTGTTTATAGCTCTCTGAAATACGGCCGGGGCATTGGCAAGTCCGAAGGGCATTCGGTTGTATTCGTAATGCCCGTTAGGCGTTACAAAGGCTGTTTTGTGAATGCTGTCTGGGGCTATTGCAAATTGATGAAAGCCTGACGACATGTCAAGTGAAATAAATACTTTTCCTCTTCCTAGTCTGTTAAGCTGGTCGTCAATTAACGGGAGCGGGTATCTGTCCTTGATGGTATGCGAATTCAGTTCTCTAAAATCAACACACATCCTGTAAGATCCCTCTTTTTTTCGCACAAGTATTATGGGGCTGGCATAGGGCGAGCTACTTTCTCTGATTATGTTATTAACTAGGAGATCATCTACAATTCCTCTAACAATTTTCCTCTCTTCAGCAGACAAGCGGTAGGGTTTCCGGTTAACTACATATTCGTCGGTTAATTTAATATCCGTAACAGCATGGGTTACACACGAAACTTTGTTTCCTGATGCTATCATGTCCTAGTAACGAACCAACAGGTTGGTAAGATCCTCTCGATGCACATCGGGAACATCAATATTAATATCGAACTTAATACTAGGCAACGTGCACAAAATTCGGTTGAATTTATTACGGCCAATTCTACTTCCCGTAATATCTGTAATACAAGTTATGTCTGGCTCTTCATACAGATTGCATCATTCACAAGAACATCATATTCAAGAAAGTCATCGGGAACAAAAACAAATTTTATGTTCGTAGTGGCATCAGACATTTCGAAAACCGCTTCAATTTCTTGAGTGGAAGTGAATTTTCCAGGAAGAATACCAGTGATGGTTGTATGACATAACGAAGGATTGTTTAATCTTCCAGTACCACAATACTTAATATTCTTACGCTTTTCAATGTTTTGACCAATACTTTCTCCATAACAATGTCTTCTGGTCTTGTGCTTGCTTTCTTTTTCTTTTTTTCTCTGTACCTTGTAGATGCATCGGAGCTATATTGCCTTAAAGATGGCGTACAAGCTTCTTCTGCGTCGGTCCTATTTTCTGTATTTTCTAAGGAAGAAGGTGACATCAACTGGCTTTCAGACATATCTAATTGGCTGTCATTCTGAAAATAAATAAAAGTAAATTTTAATATACATTCATTATCAAATTATGCCCGTATTCTCCCTTTAGTTGTAAACTCGATTTAAATTTGAGCTCGTGGACATATGTACATAAAATAACAAAAACGATCAAAGATGGCTTAAGTCTTAATTACACAAAGAATACACGCCTTAATTATACTATAAATGACTACTTACATCTCGAAACTAACTACAATAATTTATACATGCATTATTTACATAGAAATACAACTTACTGACCTATGTTCGCTTAATTCGTCCGTATCTAGACTTGAAATACCTTCCTTAGGCGTTTCATGATCCGTTATAAAGAGCAAATGGTCGAAATACCATATATAGATGTGGCTTCTAGACTTCGTCTTCTCCAGCCCCAGACATTTGCGAGTCTTTAATGCTCTTCAACTCTTTACGAAATGTTACCCCGCATCGCGTCTATTTTATTTTTTCACAGTTTGTATAGTTGCATTGCTGTCATTTTCTTTCATCTCTTTCAATAATTCCTCATACGCTTGGTTTGTCTTGTTTTTATTACGATATTCTTCAGATTTAATATTCCATAAACAAGAAAACTTTCGATACAATTCGATAAATTCTATTAAAAATTGTTTATTAATCGATTTTTGGTCCATATTTTCTAACGAAGACTCAACGAAACGGGAACAACAACAACAAAGGCGATTAAAATCACACACGCTACTGAAAAGAAACTGTCAAGGTTACATCGAGACCCGCCATACATTATCGGTTTGGCGCAAACCGTTTGTCTTGGCGTGTCCAAAATCAAGCTTCGGCTGATATTTAAACCGACGATTCCATTCGACGGTTTTGTGCCACAGACT